TAACAATTCTGGGATTTGGGAAACATTCATGAAAAAAGTAGGAATACTGTTATAAATGGCTGAAGCAAGAGTTTACTTCCCTTATATCCACAAGGAATCAAACCCAGAGTTCTATGTTATCACTATTTAGCTCTGTCTGTGCTTCAGGCAACTTCCAAGTTTAAAATCTGAACTGTCTCCTTTTTTTCCTCAAAGAATCAGCCTCATAATTAAATAAATAAGAACTATACTTTTAGTTTTGCTGTCTGGGAATTTATTTCCCAATCCATCTTTGGGATGGGACTCCCAACCCAACTCGAAGTTTTTCTCTGAATTGCTAATACTAAGTAAATGTAACATGAGAGATTTTCCTGTTACATCACTTTATTTTTATCATCATCATGATTATGGCAATCTTTTCTTTGTCATTTTCATCATTGCCTCACCAACATGCAGAGCTGCATGGCACACAGTCTGCTTTCACATCTCAAATGAGCACAGCTGTGCAGAGATTAAAGGTCCAACAGAGTTTATCAGAAGTGCATCTAGTATTGTTTCTAATCAGTGAACTGAACAACACCAAGTACAAAGGCTGGCAGGTTACAGAGGTGTACCTCACACAGTGAGTTCAGTAATAAGCATGCTTCAGGAGAAGGAGAGAATGAGCTTTTATCAGCTTCAGTCACGCATTCAGTTGTGTTGCTGTCTTGAGGGGCACTGCACCTTCTTTGAGGGGTTGCAGAAGAAGCAAATCTTGATCCCCAAGCACAGATGATGTCCAGACAGACGGCGAACGTTTGTCTTACACAAAGGAGGTATTCTCACTGCTGTGACATTAGAGATGTCAAGGAGCAGGCCAGCAGCAAGCTTAGGCAGCACAGCATCAGCAAGAGACCAGACAACACCAGGACAGTGAAAGCTCTCTTGCTCACTGGTTTCAGTCATCTTCTTGCCCAAACAGCAGGTGGGACTCATAATGAAAGACGTTATGTAAGAGCAGAAAGTTTGATTCACCAAGCTGCCACAGTGGCAGCACATTTACACAACTTCTCCACCCAAAATCAGGAGGCTTAACTGTAGGGATAATTGCACCCCTTTGGCAAGGGCGGTAGAGTACACTTAAAAGGGCAATCAGAGGAAAAGGGAAAGGAACACCATTTTGAATAATTGGAGCAAAGAGGTTAATACATATCTCAGTGTCACAGCAGAGACTGGCCAAGGTAATATGCATTGTTCTTATCAGAATTGTATTTATCGAAGTAAACTATGTTTGAGCTAAAAGGGAACACATAAATCTTCTCTCATTGTCGTCTTGAAACTTACAGCAGCTGTTAATTATATTATAGATCTTCCAGAAGTATGTACAGTAATTAACAGTTTCAGCCACGTTATTAGACTTACAGATATATTTTGCAAGCCTGACAGGAGCAAAGGGTCACACAAAAATGGTGTAAATCAGCACAGAATCAAGAAACCAAATGGGAGTCCCCAACTGTACTGGATGAGCTCTGATTTGCACTGGATGAAGACATAACCTTTAAGATGTTCACTGGCTGAACTCTCATTTTGGCTCACTCACTTAAGCTACAAGTCACTTCAGGCTTTTCCATGTTGCAAGTTATCATCAGGGTCTGACCTGGCCCCTCTCAGTATGTTGGAATTGGTGACAGCTTATGTTCTTTACGTCTTATAATCTATCAGAAAGAAAAATTATGTTGTTATCCTTAAAGCTGGAGTACGTTCAATGCCTCTGGAGTTCTCATGAGATCCTTGATACTGCGTCCACCTGTGGATGAATTTGTCAATTATATAAAGAGGTAAAAATAAAATTTAGCTAACTAACCAGGGTGTGGTTATGCTAACCACTTTCTCCATGTAGCACAGCTGAAGATAAAAAGTGCTACAGGGCATAAATGTAAGTATTGTTTATATGTAAGTGTATACATGGGAAAAACAACTTGTATTACTAATTTGTTCTATTTGTCTGATTTTCATATCAACTGACAACCAGACGAATACAGTACTGAGTGAAATCAGTACTGTGCTGAGTACTGAGTGAAGGTCTTGAACCAAAAGGAAGTATGTGGGCAAAAGACCAAAGGGCTGGCAAGATGGAGTTTTCAAAAGCATTACGTGACTTATGAGCTGAACTTCCCATATGAAGCTTTGTTCTGATAGCGTGCTCTTAAGTCTTGCATACAAAAACATAGAGGCACTAATATGCGGGGGCTGTTCTGAAAGCAATAGCTCCTATCTTATTCTGTTGATCCATGACGTCAGAGGCAGATGGTGGTGGTATGGCAGTAGATGTTGAACCCTCCCACCAATACTGCATTCCATTTTGTTGCCGTGTGACAGATGGCAGCAGAGGGAGAGTCTGACAAAATGGCATCTGACATGGAAGTGTGTATGAAGCAAAGATGTGTCACTGAATTCCTCCATGCAGAAAAAAAATGCACCCATTGCCACTTGCTGAAACCAAACACTGGATATGAACAAAGTGAGTGGTGGGTGCTGCGTTTCAGCAGTGGCAACAGCAACAGTGGATCACCTCTGCTGGTGCAGATTTTTATGAGTGCAGCATGCAGCTCTTGTTCATTCAGGGCAAAAATGCAAAGCCAGTGGTGTTGACCATGTTGAAAAATTGTGTTTTGTAGGTGAGAATTTGCTTTGTCAAACAGTATCTTTGCTCTCTTTGGGTGTGTTGTTTCCATGGAAATTAATAAGAGGCATTACTTTTGGAGCGACCTACATATATTCTCTCAGAAGCAAACTTTCTTATATATTACAAACCCATATGGAATGATTATTCAGATCTCTGATTCTTCAAGAAGGTGTTAGAAATTCAACAATGCCTCAAAGAGTAGAGAAGCGATTAATATATTCTGTAAGGCCAGCTGGGGCATTGAAATATCATAATCTCTTCCCACCCCAACAACAGCCTTACAATCTTAACAGTAAGATAGAAGTATTTTTTGTGAGTTATGATTTGAAAACCATTACTGGATAGGTTTGATGTGAGCACAAAGCTGTAATTCCAATGAGAATAAGCCATGAAGGTCTTCTGCTGCTTCAGTGTCTACCCTTGCAAAGCAATGCGTTTCCTCTATTCTCATTGTGATTAAGAGTTAAAATAAAAGTGGAAAACTTTCTTCTGTGCCCAGCTGGACGGGCAAGGTTTAATGTGAGACATCCTCCATGGGAAAAGAATCTAGAGTTTCAAGATTAATATCCAATTTCCAGGCTTTTACACTACTCGGCAATCACTCAAATCTAACAGTGAAGCAAGGAAAAGATTAAAAAGCCAAAGGCCGCAAACCTGTTTAAACTTGTATAGTGGGTTCAAAGTTTCCTCTGAGATCTTGAGCTATAGTTTTCAGATATCACAGAAGTACAAAACCTAGACAGTCCCACAGATAAGTTCCTATTTACTCTAGATGAACTGAAGAAATATAACGAATCACACTTTGGACCTTGTTCTTGGCTATAACTAATACCTGGTTATTTTGGTCACTCGCTGAGAAGTGACTTTCAGAAGCATTTAGGAGTAAAGTGAGCTCCAAAAAAGGGAAGCTGTTGCTACTGGAGAGAAGGATGGTGGGAAAATACTTGTGGACCCTTGCCAAAGTGGGAATGCATTACAGTGCCTGCAACTGCTGATAGTCCTGTTGCTGAAAACTTAGTTGGAATCCCACTGACTTTGGAGACAGCAGGCAGGAATGCTGGCAAACAAAAGTATACATGTGAAACAAAGCAGAGGGAAGAATGAAGCAATAATGCACAGTCCTTATTTACCTACATTTGCCATCTACAGTCCTCTGGTTACCACACTGCCTTGTCATAGGTTTTAGCTCTGCTAATCAATGTGAACCAGAGCCTTCTGCTCAGCATGCGATCTGGGAATGCTAATAAGAATCTTTCCTCTCTTTCCAACCATCTTACAAGAACAGATATGGCCCATTTTAATGAGAGCAAGCCATTTAACTGTTCCTTCACATAATGCACAGCAGAAATCTATCTTACCATTCTACAACTGAAGGTACTGAGTCTAATGAAGAATGCATGAAGAAGGGAGGAGAATATAACCAGTACTTATTATGTTCCAATAGCAGCATTAGTTATATGGCTGCTACTCCCACATACCAGGTACTGAACAGAGGTCAGGGGTATGTCGCTCCAGAGCACAGTCTGAACAGACAAGAACTAGCAGGAAAGGGGACAGAAGACAAAGAAGTTAAAATCAGCAATTTTAAAAATCAACTTCAGCCTCGAATGGCAAAATGTAGACTTTTTCCTTTTAGAAGTTATCTGATGTCCTCAGATGATCTGCTGAAATCCTATTTTGCAGGTTTACCAAGATCTAGGCTATGGCACCTTTTGTCAAATTACTTTTCCCTTGTCAGCGAGCCCTTTCCTACAAAAGAGAACTACACTAACCTTGTTGATAGCTAAGGAAACCCAGATGCTTTCAGCATATATGAAAGAATCTTATATTGGAAGACAAATATCTGTCCTTTGCAGTGAGGTTCACAGGAACTCATCTCTTGGCAGCTGATAAACAGTTGTCACAGCTGGGCAGGCTCAAATTCTGAAAAATATCCATGGAGCTTGAATACGATGACTCTAAGGTCATCAAGAAACCGGTTCAAAACAGGAAACAACTCTAACCCCATGGATTATAAAGACTCCATATAACTGTAACAGGTGCTTACAGTAAATTCCATTATAAGGAACCTCCGCCAATAGCTAGAGCCGTCAGCTCTTAAAGATGGGGTGTATCACTCGATCCATGGCATCAAGGACATGTTTTAAATAACAAATCAAGATGAGCAAACTGAAGGAAGGAGAGGAAGAATGACAAGTTGTCCATTATTTTAGCAGGGTCTCATCTTTTTATAGCATTTTAACATCAAGTCAGATTTTATTCTGTTGAGTCCCACTGTACCATCTTGGAAGAAACAGCTGTTATCAGTTCTACAGGTTGGTATTTCATTCTGTATTCTCAGAGGGTTGTCACTGACCTGTCCTTCCTGGTCCCACTGAGCAATGCAGGTAAACAGCCATTGCCTTTCGCTGTGAGTGGCTGTTGCTGGCAACTACTCCCAGTTCTGGAAAACAAATTGCAGACCATTATCAGCTCTTCTGGTAATTGCTGCTGGATGGAAACTGAGAGTGCAATAAATCACAACATCATTATACTAAGACCCAAATGGTCTGGAATATTTTAGCTTGGGATAGTTAATATAGAAGTGATACAGACTGCAATGGTAGATAAAAATATACTATGTTGACTAGCTTATATGTAGGTTTTTCTGTATATTTTAAATTAAAAGCAAATAAACTTTAAAAAAAGAAACCACTACGACTTATCTTCAGCTGCAACTTTAACATTTTGCTTCTTAACCTGATGGGAAGGAAAATCTCTTAGACTTCAAATATGTGAGCCTTGAACTCTGCACAAGGCATTATATTTATGACAGAGATACCACACATAATGATTGTAGGCTAAAGGTTGGTGTATTTTCATTGTTTGTATTCTCTCTTTAAGGTAAATGTCTATCAACCCATTATATCTCAGTATTCTCATGAACACAGCAGTTTCCAGCAGACTTACTCACGCTCAGGCAAAATGGAATTGCTTGGTTTGAAGCAAAGTTCTCCAAAGTCCAATAAAATAAATGTACTTCAAAACTCAAATGTTAAAAGAAAGAAGCTGAAAAACCAGGCAGTTTCAAACAAGCACTGAGTCATGTGAACAGAAGAAGTTTGACAGGATCTCCCTTGGGATATTCCACGAACATGTACAGTCCCAGGCACAGAGCCAAAAGATCCAGGCGTATCAGTTAGGTGCAAGATAGGGAGGAGTTAGCAGTCATGTTCGAAAATATGCATTTCATGTTCAGCCAAGAAGCGATATTAACAGCCCTTGTATATTTGTATATTTGCCCAGAGAAAAGTGTAAGGATGGAGTGGAGCGAAAGGAAATAAATAAAGCTGGAGAGGGAGTATCATCTCTAAGAGAATTTTGTTTCTCCGTCTGGTTCCAGACCAGCTCATCAAAGCCGAAAGGTAATTCCACTCATTGCAGTATCTTCCATCTTGTTCAGATTTCATCCATGAATAAGCAACTGGATTTCTACCAGACAACTGGAAGCCTACCAAAAGCACAATCCTCTGACGTGCTAGCAAAGCTGGAATTAGATAAAACATTCATGAGAAAGACCCACAGATTTAGTGGATGTGACTCTCATAAATGCTGATGTTCAGAAAGAGCAGCTTTATAGAAAACATTTGCCCTTAGTTTAAAAAGTCTGTGCTGAAATGAGTTAAACTACCTCATTATCAACTGGGGTTTTTTTGTTCCTTTTTGATGATGGCATTGTTATTAGTTTCATTCAGTTAAAAAAAAAATACAAGGCTCTGCAGGGCTTGTATTAAATTGTTTAGGATTATTATAATCAAATTTTGATTGAAACACTATTAATGATCTATCTTGGGAATTTAAAGCATCATTTTGGGGTTGATAGCATCTTTGTGATGGAAAGCGTATTTTTTTAATTGGATTCTTGGAGAAAGTACTGTAAGGCTTGTTCAGTTTATGTTTTAATCCAGACTGCCCTGTACACATGTACAAGGTTGCAAATATTTATGTTCATGGCTATGTTAGACACACTTCACAAGAAGAAAGAAACAGACCAAGCAGCAGAGGAGGCAACCTGCCTCTTTTCAGCTTAGATCATGAAAATGCTGCTTGATGCCACCAAGAACAACAGCAAGCTTGAGTCCCATCAGTGCCAGACAGTCGTCCCTCAAATCTGCGACCATGCTGAACCAGGCTGCACTTCAGCCAGGAGTATTTCTTCTGACCTCTGTACAGCAATAGATCTCCCCTGGAGAAAGAAAACATGAAACGTTCTCTCTCCTCTTAATATTCACAAGTTTGTGTGCTGAAAACAACTGGTGCAAGCAGAATGTTCTGAGCAGCACTGCCTGCATCCAGGAGCTGCCTTGGCACTAAAAACAATGGGCTCACTTATCTAAAAGGTTGGGCAAATACTGTCATGGAGTGATCCCTGCATAACTGAGAGCTGACAGCTATTTACATCACCAAGGATTTGGCTGCACTGTAACTGCTCTTGTGACAAGCCATGAGGCTTTGAACGCTGGACTGTTTGCTTCCAAATCTTTTACACCTTGACAGTCTCCCTAATCATTCAGCAAATAAATGGTGGAAGTTCCTGAGCAGCATTTTCAAAAATGACAGCTTTACTGCTACCATCTTCACATCAGCTACTGTAGGGTGACTATTATTTCTGGAGATGTTGGGGGTTTACTTAAAGAAAGGAAGAAGAAAGAAACCATGCTGCTGATAGCACTACTAACCCAATGAGCACTGCCTATCAAACCCAAATGGTACAAAACTTCTGTTATGGAATAGTCAGTACTGGTGGCTCCTTTGCTACCACCTACCTGTGTAAATGCAAATTCTGCTAGTGGTGAAGCCTAAGATAACATAGTCAAATGCAAACTACTACTTGCTAACACTTTCAAATTACTTCATTGCTATCAAACTGCTGCACACTAGCCATAGCAGATCAAAATGTCACATCCAGTCCGAATTTATATCAGTGTGCCTCATATGGTGATCATTCTCACCCCTCCAGATATTGCTGAGTACGAACTTGTGACAACACTCAGCTAAAATCAGCAGTGTCTTTTCATATTTGGGCTGCAGATGAGGTAGAACTTCCTCAATCCACTCATACTCTTCAGCTATGCACCCAATCCCACTTTAGGCCAAAATCCAAAAGCACCTCCGACCTAATCTTCTTGCTCATTTTATTGTGGGAAGGAGTCCAGGTGTGTGTGCTGGAAGGAATTTCCGTGGATGCCTGTGGTGCTCAGATCCCAGCATACCACCACTTGTGCAGCTGTGCAGTTCTCACCACGGCCTCAGCGATGAGGGCTGCAGGAGGAGCAGGGCACACAGCACCAATCACACTGTTACTGCAGCTGAGGCACAGGAAGGGCTGAGGACACTCTAGCTGCCATACAGTCCCACTGTGTCCCCAGAGCAGGACTGCTGTCCACAGCATCAGCCCAACCACGGTGTTGTTGTCGACCTCCACCCTCCTTGGAAGGAGGCTCCAGCCATCCTCCCCCAAATGCAGCAGGACACAGTAGAAGCTGGGTGGTTCAGCAGTGCTTGTTGGACCAGGCTTCTAAGACACAACCCAAATGCATATACTTAGAATTGTAATCAACTAATAAAAGATTTCTTATCTCTGAGCTGCACAAGAGGCATGATATTCCATTGACGACTGAAGAATTTATCACTTTATCACTTGTTTTTGTCGCGGAAGAGAGTCACTTATCAGCAATGGAGAAGGGTGGGTGTTGTCTGGGAACCAAGGTCCAGCACTGGGGTGTGTAACAAATGTTAACCACTTCATCTCACCTCACGGGGCACTATTTTAATTTCATCTTTATTGAGCTTAATTATCAGTTTACAGCACTTGTACGTTATAGAAGACATAAACCTAGATCACCTCCTACAGGCCAAAGAGGAGAAGTCCTTTCTCCTTGCCATGAACCGTGCTGTTCCTGACCTGCTGGGCTTTTGAAGAGTCAAGCAGACTGCTCCAGCAATGCTGAACTGCGCTTATTAATGTCAGCATTAGATCATTATGGAAGATTATGGCAACCCTGCCCATGGCAGGGAGTTGGAACTAGATGATCTTTGAGGTCCCTTCCAGACCAAGCCATTCTATGATTCTACGATTTTATGATTCTCTTCTAGCACTCTGAATTTTGGGGTTAGTAGCAAGCTTCCCCATATATTGCATATCAAACTGTACAACAGAATGCTTTAGGAAATCAAACAGACTCATTAGATGCCTGCCACTTAATGCAACCAGAAACAACCTTTGCACTTGAATCCAGACTTTTTCTATTCCTTGGAATTCTTTCCTGCAAAATGGGGTTTCTGCAGACTGTCATAAAATACTGTGAGAGAAAGAGTAATAAGCAAAATTCGTTCTTCTTACTAGTGACAATTTGAGAGTTAAAGTGTGTTTGAAATGCTGTGTTTTGCAATCTAGTCTATGTGATAAGTGATAAGTTATATAGCTGTAATAAACAGTAGCGATACGTAAAATGTCTTACATTCTGTACAGACCCATTTGCATTGCAAAAAAATCTCCATTTAGATTACAATGAACTCTAAATTATAGAATAAACAAGTTTTGGCTACATCTCGAGGCCCAGCAGGGAGGAAGGCATCGTTTGCCACCACAGCAGAGGAATGCTGTTTACATCCAACAGAACTGCGCAAGGAGACTTTGCAGCTTTAACACATAGGGACTGTGACCAGGCCTCCCCAGTGTCTTTGCTTTGTGGTTTTCACTGGATGGCTGTAGGCTCTCTACTTACTACCAGAAGCATTGAGCAGTGCTTTACTTTTCCCAGAGCGGTTAGGCCTCGGGGGATCAAGCTGAATATAGCCAACCTTTGAGCCTGTTTGCTGTGTAGCAAGCCACTGAAATGAAGCACTATTGTGTGCTCTCCTTAAGAAACAAGGGTGTAATTTCATCTGGGACTAGTAACAGGTAAATGACAATAGGATATTTGCTTTAAACGTTGCCTTGTCTTCCCCCTGCTGAAAATGACTCTCAGCCTTCCAGGTGCTCAGCTAACCTTGCCCTCTGTCAGTCTGTGCCAGCACAGGCACTGCACAGGCTGTGCCAATTGTGATGGTTGATGATCTCAGAGTGGTATGAGGAAAATACAGATGTTCACACTCAGATATCCAAACCTTAGCAAGTCACATGTATCTACCTGACACCATTATCAATTCTTCTGCACCCTAAATTGGTCTTTTACAAACTTCCAGCTTGATGCTTCCTTTCATTAAATGCGTATGCAATGCTGTTAGGAGATAATATCAATCCCAATGATGTCAGATGAAAATCGTGTCTTTCTTTGACCTTGCAGGGTAAGATCATGTCTGAAAGTGTGACAGATTGTGAAAAGCAACCAGGGAGGGCTCACGTTATCTGCTCCAGATATTGGAAACTGGTTGCCACCTGGTTTCACAACTTACAGAACTTGATAAGATCCCCAGTTCGTTCCGGAGATCCCACCTCCCACAGCTTTTATTCATTTGTCTAGACCAAGAATGACATAAGATCTTTCCTGTTGGCTACCACAACTCACGTTTCACACAATGATCTCTTGGGAGTCGCATCCTGAAGTCATCCTGGAGGTTGTGCAAAAGGCATCAGTTCTCTTTTCAGCCACAGGTCCTTTTGTAGACCTTAACAGTACCAAAGCAGCAACTTCACACCTGCAGCACACAGCGGTGTGAAGTTTTGCCTGTCTGTGGGCCCCAGCACTTAAT